ATCGGTTCGCGGCGAAGTTCGGCTCGCGGTTTTGCTCGATAATGTGGGCCCTCCTTAAAGCAGGGTCCACATTATCGAGCCAAACCGCGAACCGAGTCCCGAACCGAGCCTCGAGCAGAACTTGCAGACGAACCTCAAATCGAACTCCATCGCGAACCGCGAACATGAGTTAAAATTTTTTGAAGTCAAATCTCGTATTGAAATTTATAATAAAATTTATATAAATTCTTAATACATGTATGCAAAATGCATATTTATATTTACAATCGTATTTTTTAACATTGCAATCTATATATTATAAATTTATTGCGTATTTATCACAGGTTTAGAGTATGTTTATGCAATATTAATTCTAAATTTTGTTTTATGGTTTGAAAAGGAATTAAGTTTTGAATACAGAAAAATAATAAAAGCACATATACATATATTCACTCACCTTTTCCTGTTTCCATACTTTTTTTATTTTTGCTTTTTCTTTTTGCAGAGATGCCAATAATGTCGTCATCTTTTTTTTGCACATGTCACTATCACATTCGAGTTCTTTACTTATTTCTTCTTATAAAAAAAAGTATGAGAACAGGAAAAGACGACTAAATATGTGTATACATATGCGTGCTTTTATTATTTTCTTGTATTCAAAGCTTAATTCCTTTTCAAACCATAAAACTATATGTAGAGTGGTACCAACTATATTTAATATTGCACAAACATACTCTAAATCTATGATAAATACGCAATAAATTAATAATATATATTGCAACGTTAAAAATACGATTGTAAATATAAATATGCATTTTTTTAATTGTTATAATGTTCGGGATTTTTAGCGTCCCGTATATAATAATCTTTTCTGCTCATAATCACTAATTAATTTTAAACATTTTTTATCAGACCATTCCATTTTGTCTACCAGTAGTCGTGTAGACTGCACATACGTGGATAGAATCAAATACAGCGACTGGGCAATTACTCACGTTTTCTTTCATCGTTCATTTTTTGTTTTTTGTCATTATTTGTCTAGCTCGAAGCTTAACTACCAGTCTACCACCCGACAAAGCGTATAATCTGATCATAAAAAGCATCTTTTGATGTTTCGTCAGAATACCGACTTTTGGTGGGACACTGCGAGCCAAACCGCGTATCATCAAAATCCTTGCAGATTCGTGGGGTGAGTACGCGATGGTTCGCACTGATGTTCGATTCGAGGTTCGCGAGCCTCGCGCGAGTCCGTCGGCTCGACAATGTGGACGCATGATCGGCTCGCAACGAAGTTCGGCTCGCGGTTCGGCTCGATAATGTGGACGCATGATCGGTTCGCGGCGAAGTTCGGCTCGCGGTTTTGCTCGATAATGTGGGCCCTCCTTAAGAATGTAGAATAAAATTGCATGTTAAATTATTATTAGTTACATAAATAAAGTAGTTAAATTGGTAAAAAATTATATTATTCGTACCTAATTTTCAAAAATGTTTATAATACGCACAAGCTATATAAAGGCATAATTTCGAAATTTTTTGTTTATATTTTTCATAGCTCATTTATTTCATATTTTTACCATTAAATGTCGATTATATTTAAAGATAAGAAAGAAATTGATAAGGTATGATTTAGGTGACCAGTACCTATGTATTAAACAACTCTTCCTTAATAAATTTTAGTATTACTCACAAGGAAAGATCCCCAATTCGGAAATTCAAAAAATTATGAAACTTGGCAACGCATAGAGGATAAAATATTTTTCTGACTGCCCGAATTTACTCTGAAGAACAAAATCAATCTATTTTTCGTTTTTGTTTTATTGTTCACCGACAAAGAAAGAAATAGGACAAAATTTTATGAAGGAAATTTATTTCTTTTAATGAGATTTACCGATTAGAAAAATTGGGGATCTTTCCCTTGTCAATATGCCTATATTTACACTCAATTGTATAGAGTATTTTTATCATGATTTTTAAAAACATATTGTTTGTTAATTATGTGTTGCAGCAGCTTCATTCGGAATACAGGAGCACGTACACATGGCACGAGTACACAGGACCGCATCAGGAGCACACAGTTGTACGACGTGCGCCGCAGCCACCACCGTCGAGTAAGTGCAGTAATTACGAATTATACGACACAATAGAATTGTTATTTTCGTTGTATTTAGCGAACATTAATCCTAAACAGAATAAAATAGCTTATTCGCCGGCAGAAAACATAAAAAATTTTACTAATACGTACAATGACGTAATACTTCACACACGATATAGCAATGAGTTCTTATGTGAAGTTTTAAAATTTATTAATTAAACGACTGTTATATTTAATGTATAATTTTCCAAATGGAAAGAGATGCATTGATAATTTGATAAACGTATCGTGAGATATATTTAAAAATTGAGAAAGGTTTGTAAGGATCGGAGAATCTATTACATTCATACTGTTTAGGCTTGATACTACATTAGAGAACTCACATTCACTCGAGCGTGAATCGGCCGATCTCTGTATCGATTCTGTTTTACACAGACATATATAAGTTATTTTTTATTTTAATACCCTAGTCGTCATTTATAATCGAGAAAGAGAAAATATTCATGCCAAAATGCTCCCGAGAGCGTCCTATTCGCTGAGAAAACTTTTTACTTTTTTTCTCCGTACATTAGTCTCTTACTAGTGTCTTTAATGATTTCGTTTATTCGTATTACTCATATTATTAACGCACTCGCTCTCCATCACATTCCGTTCACTTCATACACACCATATTATCGCGATTTTATTACGATATATACAATACATTATTTTTTATGTAACATATATATGCATATATAGACTGTCCTATACAACTTGCGATTTTAATGGCAGACTCTCTGATGAGTTCGGAATTGATTTCTTTTAAGGAAAATATCAAGGCACTGAGATGCCTCGACATTTTTAAGTTATAAGCGATTGAAAAAGAAAAGTTTGTCGCAAATTACGTTTTAAGAGATCGCAGAAGATATCCTTTAATCAATCAATTTCAAGTGAGCTTTATACTTTACGTTAATAAAATTTTAATTTGGACCTTACACATTAAACATGTTATTGAAAATCGAAAAGGTGTATAATGATATCACTTGATGTTGTCACTATGAAAAAATCGACTTCAAATTCGCAAGAAATCTGTCGTTAAAATTAAAATCACGAGTTGTGGGACCAATCCTATTTCCATTTCGATATTGTATATGTCATGATATATTTTTAGAGCAGCGCATTACGATACATATTGTCATATACCTGTTCTCTCGATGTTATTCTCATTTTGCCCTATTACTGATGTCTTTGTGTGAACGCTTATAAGTCAGAGTAGATATGCATTTTTACCTGCCGGTAAAAAGAACGTGAATTCGTTCCCGGCCCATCTTTCGGAGACAGATGGCAGCTGTCGATCAGACCGGTGGAACTCCCCTCGTTTCCACTCGATCGAGTATTTTGGTAACGCACGATTAAGCGCAAAAATGTGGTTCTTGGCCTTGTTCAAATCTGTGTTTGTAGATAACTCGTTTGCATAAAAATTTCTAACAGGTTTTTAAATATCTCTTTACATTTCCATAATATAATAATAAACGTAAAATACACAGCTTATGTTTAATTGATTGTAACTGATACATCTGTGTATTTATAATATTTAGTATATGCATAACATTGAATTTTGATGTAAATATTTAAAGCTGAAAATTAGATTAAGGATAATGACGTTATAATAAGGATAATTACAATGTGCAAGAAAAGTTTGAATATAAATTCCTCTAATTCTTGCTTGGAATTTATATGATTCAAGGAATCTCGAGAATCTGTTTGAAAACATAAAGCGCTTCTGAGCAACAGGAGGAACAACGGTGTATACAGGAATCAAAATTTGCTTTGTATTATATAGTACCTAATCTAAACTAACAGCTAATTTAATTTGAGATTTCCGTGTTTACTTCAATTTACATTGAAATGGAAAGGGACAGATGTTATCTATAACTATCTTATTATCCTCATATTGTCGTTATTAGTAGTAATTTTTACATTACTTATATTATATTAATTATTATAATCTATAAAGAATATATAAATATTTATAAATTATAAAAAAAAATATATAATAAAAAGTAAGAATAATAGAATTTCTAAGTCAAGGCCAATAACTGCGAATATTATTACAGTGTCAGAATCCATTTCCACTGATCGTCGATTTCTCAGCTATATAGCCGTCGCTCGAATTTAATCGTTCACGATCTCGCACGATCTTCCACGACCTCGTTTCGCGTAAGGCAATTTGGCCGCAATAAATTCCGCGCCATTGGCTTTTCCATCTTCCCGGTCGCTCCTGAAAAATGAAATAAACCCGACATGTATCGTGGACGATTGAACTCCGTTCTCCCCACCCGTGTGATCTTTAGTCGCAGGCGATTTTTTTCTTCCTTTTTTCACGCAGGTTGATAGATTTAACTCATCTGTAGTGTCGCCAGTGGCGTTGTGATGTTTAGCTTTTATGTTATCAAAGATGAAAGAAGAGATTAGGATTTAACAAACTTAATCGACATCGTACGATTATAAAACACCAGAATACATACGTGAATCTTAATTGATTGTAAAAATCTCTCTGTGAGTTAGGCGGAAAATATTATTATGTTAGGTATTATGTTTCATTGTGATATATATACCATCACTTATTCACGATATCATTGGAGATTTAGAAGAAGTATCTCTTACCCGCCGACTTTTCAAGAAATTTCAACGGAAACCATCTAGTTCTCCTTTTGTTCGAGTACGAAAAAAGTGAATCATCGTTTTTACTTTAATTTGTTGTCGATATCTCACGCTAGGGATCACATGATCGATTATGATGGAGAGTCAGTCGATCAAGCGAAAAAAAACGAGCATTAAAGAGGGCAGGGAGGGGGGGAGGGAAAGAAAAGTAAGACAAGAAAAACAAAAGAGAGAACGCGGTGCCAGCTGCGAATTTTGATTGCAGCGAAGCAACCAAGCGCGAAGCTACAATCGGCCAAGTCAACAGAGGATGAGAACAGCGAAGGTAAGACGAATGATTCGGAGCTACGCAAATACCCAGGTTTTATTTCGATTTATTTTCGCTCACTCTGTGAAGAAATTCGCCCCTCCCCCCTCCCCTCTCCTTGCCCTGATGCTACTGTTTGTATCTGCCATTAATTTGCTAACAAAAAGGCTTGTAGCTGAATGTCAACATTATCGAACAACCATATTTACCTCAAAATTCAAGTCAAATTGATTTAAAATTCATATTTTATGTATACAGGATCTGTTGTAATAACTGTGTAACACTTTTTTTGTAAACATCGGGTAAAACTAAACAGGAAAGTCTTGTAATGTTTTGCAATTTTTCACTATTAATGGGAAATTAATTAATAAAGATCCGTCAATCTGTCAATGAGGGTGCATCCGTGCGATTCAGCGACGTATATAAGCGCACAGCTGTATAAAGTTGTCCTCTTCCCTCCCTATTAAAAATCTAGTTACAACTATTATTATTTATTTGGTGATTGTTTGGTAGTGTTTGATGGGCCGTTCCCAACGATTACTGGTCAAAATTGTAATTAATAACACGGAAAAATTGAGTAAAATTTACTCCCTCTTCTATAAAATTTAACTTTCCAGATTATAATTATAACTATTAGCATTTGTTTGGTGAAAATGGTAAATGATAACATGGTAAAAAGACGTGACGTATGCATGTGAAGTTAGTCCCATCTTTACTAAAATTCGACGCTCTCTGATATGTAATCAGAGAACTGCAAGCATTCATTTGGTGATTATTTATTAACGTTTCTTAATGTATTCTACAGTCTTAATGTATTTACAGTCTGAAAAGTTGAATTTTATAAGGGGGGAGGGGCTAACTTTACATGCAAATATTTTTTTTGCGTTCTTGATTATAGTTTTTATCACTAATTGGGAATGGACTACCACCAAATGAATGATAATAGTTGTAACTGGATTTTCAGTAGTAGAGGAGTCAACTTTATACGGTTGCTTCGTCACTAAATTGTACGCTCCGTGGCAGACCATTATTAATTAATTTCTCATTAATTACTGTGAAAATTACAAAACGGAGAACTTTTCTATTCAGTTTCTCACGCTGTATCTGCTTGTAAAAGCTGTTACACTCATTAGTTGACAGCCTGTACATATATAAAAATATGTCTTTACAGTACTATGTTATTTATATGTATTATATATTGCTTATATATTATCTGTATATTTTAAATGGGATGCTCTAGACATAATCGCGAATACATAATTATTTATGGCATTTCTATTTCTGGAAAAATATGAACAATGAAGAATTAATTAAAAGTATTGAGTTGTAAAAGTTCTCTCGGTTTGTTTGTAATTTCTTTTTGATATTACAATTTAAATATTTGAACGTTTCTGACAAACAAAAAGTTCAAATATTTGAAGACTCAAGAAATACTAAGCTCTTTTCGATTCTATAGAAAAGTTTTAACGAGTTTATATAAAAACCAATAGAAATTTTCGAACGATTTAATACTGTTAATACTTTAACAGATAAACTATAGGTGCCGCAGAAAATTACATTTCCTTAACTGTTTTATTCTTTTTTTTTTTCAATGCTTACATTCATCTAATGCGATGCTCCTCAAACATCGACTTTCACATATAATAATAGTCATTATGTATTTCAATTTGAAAATAATCATTAATAATCACTCACGTAATTGCGATCATTATGACGTCATTATCAATTAATCGAACTTTCCATTTTGCTTGATAGAACGAAAGGCTTAACTATTCCTTTGCGTGAATTTGTTTTATAAATTTAATTTTAATTTGCTTGCGAAAAAACATTTTTTATACTTCGCCTCTATAAATTTTATCGATAAATTCCATTTACCGGATAAAGTTTCGATTTTTCAAATGTAGAATCGATGAACAGCTAGTGACGTTTAGGGCATGAACGACGTATTGCAAGATATTTCGTTTTTGCATATCTTACTTCGACAATCTTTGCGAATTATTCGTCATGAAAAACTGCTATTTGCCTGCACGAAAGTCGCGCGAAGCATGCCTAAAAGTATACCGAGCCTATTATCATTCTGGCGAGAGGTGCGATTAATCAGAATAATGTTCGTGAAATAATGGAATTCAGGACGTATGCATCATGATACACATAAACGCGATCATAATAATATTATTACTGGAAGTAAACATATATATTATATATTATGCATAATATGAATAAATATCTAAACTCTTCAACACAGTACTCTTATTTTTTACTCATTAAGGGGATCAAAGTGCACGTTTGCAATAATCATTTTTCACAGATAACTGTTTTGTTTAGAGTCTAAACCTAATTCTGACAACGATATCGTATTTTTAGATGTAATCCGTTGGCCACGCCACAGTCTTTTTGTAACAATACATTGTAGAATTTTTATATAAAGCGAATGTTTTCGCAAATTGAGATTAAAACAAGTTTCGATATTACAGACGACTGTAGGATCCCCTTAAGCTAAATTCTTTCTTCGGGCTTCAATTCCATGTAGCTAAAGTTGATTTTTGCGTTGTCTTTGCCATCAGAATCTAGAATGACAGTATTTTCTATTATATTCTCTCGTATTCTACGAAGAATATTCACTTATCACGTACTGTATCGCAGTGATAAATGTAACATTCAATTTTATTTCTATGTCAAATATCGGATATAGTTTTTCGTGATCGATTAATCACAGTCATTTATGAGACTAACGATGAAACTAAATATATTTTTCAATAAATACACATATATACTTAATGTAAACATGTAAACATGTATATTGTGCGAAATGATACAATCTTTTCTAACAACTTTCATGGCGAGATATTTTTCTAGAACGAAAACATCTCTTTCTCTCGATGATTCAGAATTTGGAGGAATAACAACTCGAGATGCTTTGCTCCTTTGGCAATAAAACTCACTTGAATACTTAAAACACTAAAGATATTTATTTATTACTAACTAATCTATTGCCATAATATAAAATTGGCAGCATATTACTCTACTAGAAATTGAATCTGATATGTGACTGTGATGAGCTCCGACTGTGAGCTAATAAAGTTGTATGATACATCACCGCTGTCTAACTTTTCTAGTTAATGATGAAGTAATATAATTCTTACTTTTTCTAGTAATTATATAAATAATACTATTTGGTACTGAAACTAACTATGACTAGACATAAAAAGCAAAACAATTTTTTAAATTTCAGATTATTTTTTATCAAGAGTATTTAAACTGATGAGATAATTACTGGTAAAAAAATATTTATTGCAATGTATTTATAATTAATATCTGTAATTAAGATTGATCAGATGCTATAGATAATGACTAGATAGCTTTTTTTTTAGGAAAGAATATAGTTTCATTTTTTTACACACACTTAATGATGTAATGAATTAGCTAAATAAATAATTTTGAAATTAATTATTTAATAAAAACTTTTAATAATTTACAACATAAAATAACAATGGCACATTTAAACTTTAGATTATTTAAATTTTATTATCCAACATACTAATATACTAATGATATTTTGTTATTAGCTATTGTGAGTAAAATTACCAAAATAGAAATAATATCTAGTTCTTTACAAAGTATTAACTAATTGTAAGTAATTAGTATGCATTTTAACAAACTTAATGATCATCTAATATAAATCTCATTTTTAATTATATAATTAATAAGTAACATTAAAATAAAGGAAATATTGTGGAATCATGCCTAATGTTTGTAAAAAACAGTTCTTTAATTTATTTTTAATGAGATGTATTAACTAAATAATTATAAAAATTCTCAGAATTTATTGTATACTATATCTACTCAGTTAATAGTATGTAAAGTAGCTTTCTTTTGCACTTTTTATATTTTTCTTATTTTTTCTAATTAATAATGAAATTTATGTAGAAGAAATTAAAAATGGTATTACTAATTTTTATTGATTATGCTACTATTAGGTAGCTGCTAGAAAGATTTTTATCAAATAATATAAGAGTTCTTTATTCGTTAATTTAAAAATGCTATTGGTGGAATAACACAAAAATTCTGAAAATCTTTGTGGAAAAAAATAAACATTTTCCGGATAAATTCGAAAATAATTTTTTAGTTTGAAAAAAAAAAAAGATTTATAATTCAACTATCAAAAATTAAGTTGCAGAAGCATAGCATAGCATAAAAATAGTACAGTTTAACATAGAATTTTTTAGTTTTTTTTTATTCGACTGTGCACAATTGAGTCGCATGATGGATAAGGGTGGAAGGATGTCTTAATATTTTTACATGTAACTTTAAAATTTGCATAACAACGCAGTGCTACCATATTTGATGTATGATGACTAAACAACAGTTCGCGAATAATTGATTGTAAATTCTAGCTAGTAATTAATCTATCTGATTTAAAAATTTTATGTAGCCTGTACTACCTATAGTCACTATCTTTGAAATCAGATTGGTTAGTTCAATTTCTACTTGAGTAGTAACATATCTATATATAATCAAATAAAGACTCATTTTTCGTCATCCGATTGGGCTGTCGATTTTTAGCTGCTTTGAACTTTAGACAGCCGCAGGATTCTTTTAAAACATTTAAAGGTTCTGCTCTAGAATATAATTTGTTTAATGTATAATTTGCCGTAAAAGAAGGTACCGTTTTTAAGTCATTATAATATTATATTGTAGATAATTTTTCAGATTTTTTAAATCTATCATGTACATTAATGATATATTAATATTTACAGATTTAAAAAATTACTAATTAAAGATTGCAAAATTATATAAAATTCAAAATGATCAATACGATAGCTAGATTATTTTTACGTATATTGATTTGCATCAAACTTGGTATTTATAGATTTTGCTGATTACAAATTATAGATTAAAATTATGAATTTAAAACGGCAGTTTCAATATGGTAATTTGAAATATTTGAAAATTTGAATTATTATTAGTTCTATGTATGTTCTATGTGAAATATGATCGAAATGTTAAATCCGTGATTT